TTTTGCAGAATGTGTATGTGAGCAAAGTTAAACCACTGGGTTAAGCTGAGTCTAGCTTTATGTTGTATTTCAGCCCCTTCCTTCCAAAGAATTGTCTTTTCCTTTAGACCTTTTTCCTATATTATTTTAGCAAATGAGTCCATTATGTGGACTTATTTTTTGCACTCCTCCGAGGAAGACTGGGTCCTGGCTAGAAAACTGAGTGCAGACCCCTCAGTGTGGCTTGCCCATTCCCYCCTTGTTTTACAGGGAAACAAATATGGGGCCAGGAGTCATTTTACAGAAGTAAGAACCAATTTAATCATGCTACAATGATAAGCATAGTGCCTGATACCACAGAAACAACTCTCTTTTCCCCTAGTTATTATCTTTTAGTGGAATATGTTGTTGCTGCCTGTAGCAGAGGAAAGGGAACATTGAAGTGTATCTTTGGGAGAACATCTCATAGTGAAAAGCACATTTGACCTTGGCRTAAGAATTGTACCAAAACTGCTGGTGTTCAAGGAAAAGAAAACATAAACATGTTTGCCAGGAGGCTAAATTTCTCCCAAGGGGATTTTTAACCCAGTTAACCAATGTGAGCAATGGTCCTTTCTGAAAGAAAGGGAACCAGGAAATTTAACATCCCATGTACAGAAGGTTGCAGAAGTGCACTTCTGTAAGCAGATTTTTTTAAACTTAATTTCATTAAGTTCATTTGATGAATAATATCTTAATGGAGTACAATTTCTTAGTGTTTCATATCTACTTGGATAGCTGTGAAACTGGAAAAGCAGAAATGCTTGATAAATATTTCCTGCCTCTATTTGGAACAAAGTTGAACTTTACATTATTATCCACATTATTATCCACATTACATAAAGATGATGAAAGGCTTCCTATCCAGCAACTTTTAAAAGAACATTAAACAGCACAACTAACACTTAAAAAGCAGCAGGTCTAGATGACTTGCACTTAAGTATCATAAGAGTTGCTTCTTAAGAGTGTTCTCACACAAAGTAGGAATGTGAGTTTAGAAATGATCCAGAGGACTGGAAAAAAAAAAAAACCCACTGTTTTGGCAATTTTTAGAAAGGGTAACTGAAGTAAACTCAAGCAATTTCAGGTTGACACCTGCCATGACCTACGTCTAATGAAGTGGTTCGTATCAGTTAATAAGGAGCTGGAGAAGAGGGATGTTATGAAATGGTAGTCAGCAGCTTTCATGGGAAACTGTTCAATTTACAAATCTCATCGTGTTCTTTAATAAAATCAGGTACAGTTGATAGCAGCAACGGTGTTGACTCAGTGCTGCACAGGATCCAGATTTGGAAAAAATTTATATACAGAATCAATACGAGTGCCTAATAGATCGTTTAAAAATAGCTAATGGGAAGATCTCAAAATGACTTTGTTATAAAGGTTTCATTAATGAATAAAGACTATTTCTAATGGGCAACTGCAAGTGCTTGAGCTTGTGCTATTCGTCGTATCTCAGCTAGGATCTGGAAGAAAATCCAAAGTGATTGCATCATTTGCGGTCTGTGAGAGTAGCAAAACCGAGTATATTATTTGAAATTGCACTGATGGGGCTAGTGTTTCTTGGAAATAAGGACTGTGGGGAGAGGCGTTATCAGGAGAACTTCAGAGTGACAAAAACACTCCCAGCTACTTGATAAAATGAGCCGAGTTGAAGAAGGGCTTTACTCCAGGCAAGTGCAAAGTCATGTGCTCGGGAGCAGATACTTGGCACCRTGCAGGGTCACAGAGACACGACCTCAAAGAGCAGCTCGGGCTTCTCCACTTGCCTCCAGAGCCTGGAAGGCAGAGCAGCAAAACAGCAAAAGCCCTGTCTTGGAAAACAGCTTCAGCGTCATGACAGTCATGCTGCGGCAGCTGGGGCTAACAGCAACCTTCGGAAACTGAGCAAAACATAAAGGAGGTATTTCTGGGTATCATTTTTCATGAAGTCGCTGCCAAAATTCAGAGGGCAGTACTCGTGTCCACGCTTTTAAAGTAATGTTTAAAAGCAGGGGATATTCAGAAATGATTTGAAGCACTTTACACTTCGGGTTACACACATCTATTCCCACCTTCATGGGAAACTGTTCTCTCCTTTTGACAAAATTCCAACTATATTAATGTTGTAGAACAGGAAATATATAACTATATTTGCCTACAGAAGTGTTCTATGAAGGTTTCCTGATACAACAAACACAACATCCAGTGGCTTTAATCTGCACAGGTATTCATGGTGTTATATAAATGACATTTCATAATAAATAATTAAGAAAAAGAAGAACAATGAGATGAAGCACAAGGACGATGTCCATGCTTCTCAGACAAGGAGATGGAGAAGTCTCCATGTTAGGGGGCCTTTCTCCATTCCTTAAGGCTATTCCCAACAGCAATCCAACAGGTGTCTCCAGTTCTCCCAAGGGGCCACGAGATGGAGGCAAAACTCCCAATTCCTACAGGCGGCAGGGGGGAAATTTGGAAAGCAGCCATATAGGACAGGGCATCGTGAGGGGTGAAGATGGCAACCACCACCCTGTTTCTGCTTGCGGATGATGTGTGGGGCTGGGAGAGGGGGTTTGGCTGTAAATCAGGACTGGGAGTCGCACACACACAGACGTGTGTGTGTGTGTGTGTGTGTGTGTGTGTGTGTGTGTGTGTGTGGTGAAGGTTGTCACCCACAGCCACATCCCTCCCGCAGGCTGTAGGGTGTCTCCGGCGGCCCCTTGCCCAGCTTGCTGCAGTGCACACCGGCACACGTGGTGAACACGCTGGTGTCAGCTCCCTCGCCCCTTCGGGTGTAGGGAGACAGTTGTATTGCTTGGGTGTGTTACAAGGCAGTAAACAGGCGACCCAGCCCCACTAAGCCGGGTGTGTTTCAGCCTCCCACGCACAGCCGTGGGCCTCTCCTCAAAGGCAGGGAGGGGGGCCATGGTCACCCACAGGCCCTCACCAGCCCCCTCGACACCTTGGGAGGTGGATTGTGGTACCACCACCCTGTGTCCAGACAAATCTCCACACCCTCCCGGGGCTGTTTCTCTCTCACAGTCACAGGAGGGATGTTGAGGATGCCAGACACACGGACACGCTGCCCATGGGGTGTTTTAGGGGTGTCTTTCCCACATGTGCGGTGCCACGGGCTGTGTTTCAGGGTGTCTCATGCACACCTGGGGCTGTAATTGGTGTTTTTGAGGCACCTATTACCCACACACAAGGCCACAGGAGGTGTTTTGGGGTTCATCTCGCACCTGCAAAGCCACCGGTTGTGCATCAGGCACCTCACGCTGGTGTTGGGCTCACAAGCCATGTCTGAGGGTACCTGTCACACACATGKGCAGAGACCAGGTTGTGTTCACAGGTGTCTCTCACACACATCAGGCTGTATGGGGTCTTTTGGGTGGCCTCTCTGCACACTGGGCCACAYAGGCTGTCTCAGGGTGTCTCACACACACACGTGGGCTGTTGGCTGTGTCTCAGGGTGTCAGGTGCACACACCTCGGGGTGCCCCCAGGACACAGGCTGCGTTTCATTTTGGGGTGTCTCTCACAGTAAGTCCAAGTGGACGCACAGGGCTGTCTCACACACACACACACACACTCACACACACACACACATGGAGTCTGAGGGTCTCTCACAAGCACATTATGGTGCCACAGGGAGCGTTTTTGAGGACATCAGCCTCACAAGCACCCTCACAAGCACACAAGGCCACAGGTTGTGCCTGAGCATTTCTTTCACACTTACACACACACCYACGCACACACTTGGGCTGTCAGCTACGTCTCAAGGTGTCTCACAGACATGCAACGCCACAACTGTGTTGTCGGGGCACAGGCTGCCTTTTGGGGTGTCTCTCACACACGCACAGAGCCCAAGATGCATAGACGGCACCGCCCCCCACACACACGGTGCCACAGGGGGTGTTTCTGAGGGCACCTTCACACGCAGGGTCTGCAGGTTGTACCAGAGAGGGTGTGTTACACACACACACACACACACACACACACACACACACACACACAGAGTGCCACAATGGGTGTTTCTGAGGACACCCTCACACCTGGGGGCTGCAGGTTGTGCCAGAGGCGGGGTGTTTTGCACTTACACACACACACACAGTGCCACGGGGGGGGATCCACAGGTTGTGCCTGAAGGGGTGTGTTAAACGCACACACACGTACACACACACACACACACACATGTACACACACACACACACACACACGTACACACACACACACACACACATATACAGAGTGCCACAATGGGTGTTTCTGAGGACACCTTCACACCTGGGGGTTGCAGGTTGTGCCAGAGGCGGGGTGTTTTACACTTAGACACACACACAGTGCCACGGCGGGTGTTTCTGAGGGCACTTTCCCACACAGGATCCACAGGTTGTGCCTGAGGGGATGTGTTACACACACACACACACACATACACACACACGTACACACACACGTACACACACACGTACACACACACGTGTACACACACACACACAGTGCCACAACGGGTGTTTCTGAGGGCGCCCTCACACACGGGGGCCACAGAGGGTGTGTTACATCCCCCCCGCCAACCCCCCCGGCGGCTCCGCCCCCA